CCTGCTCTCCGAGTCCCTCAGCTATTGTGCATGTGTAACACATACTGGGGCAGCATCCCTGGGTCTTGGGGAACTGGCTAAAATGCACCCTAGGCTGTGTGCTCTGAGGGAGTCCTGTCTTGGTCTAAGACAAGTTAGTAACGAGACAGCAGTGAAGCCACTTCTCACAATCTAAAGGCTGCCCAAGAAAGAATACCAAATGCCCTTTGTACTACACCACAAGGTTTAGACTCCGTTCTGGTTTTTGGTTTGTGTGTTTTGTTTTGTTTTTAGCCAGGACAGTGTTGACAATTGAACCCTAGCCCTCTTACACTAGACAAGGGCTGTGAAACTGAGCTACACCCCAGTCACAACTTTCACCTTTAAAGCAATAATCCTGTTTTTCCAGATGGAGACCTGGGCTACATTTGTCCAGATAAAAGGTCAGGTGGAAGGGTAGGATTTCTCGGAATAAGAAGATTCTGAACCCACAAACGACTCCAAGGCTCTGTCTGTGCTGAGAACCATCGGTAGCTTTGGAATGAAAGCTTGGTGCTAAAATTTTATGGCTAATGTTTGTTCTTAAACTAAAAATTGTGAGTCTTGCAGGCTTATCTCTGGGCTGCAGTATTGCAAGGCAGAACCAAGAGACACCCTCGGGAAACAAAGACATGTGGGTCCCTTGGATTGAGTGAAATAGTTTCCCAAGGCTTGAAGTGGTATGTCTGGAATTCTCCCTGTATCTCCCATTTTATCACAGGCTGGCAGGAGGAAGACGCCAGCCGCACTTTGTAAAGAGATGTCACCAGCACTTAGGGAGCAGTTTCCCCCGTCACTCTTCCTTTGAGTACTTGCCACATGTTCACACGTGTGTGCAGGCAAAACACACACTCCCTAGGACCAGTGATGCTACCAGCTCTGCTCTGCTCTGCACGTGGAAATCAAGGCAGAACCAGGCTAAATAACTCTCCCAAGTCCACACAAAGTAGCCGAGAAAGTTTTTAAGCTGAAAAGATGGCACCACATGTGTAGCCTCTAAATGTGGCTACTATTGTGGGTGGTCCATCGCCTCCCAGCAGCCCTCGAGGCAGGCAGCACCCCCTACCATCCTAGTGACGTGAGGCCCAGAGGACATGCCTGGCAGCAGAGCAGGCTCTCAAAGGCAGGCTTCTGCATGGCATCAGAGCAGGCCTTCCTTAGTTCTAACGGCCCATCTGGCACCATTTCCTGAAGCAAAAGTGCCACCTGCCCAAGTCTCCCGCATTCAAGGCTGGGGGACCCAGAAAGCCCACTTGAACCTCAAATGCTACCTCCTCCACTGAGATGTCACTGGAAGAGGTCATTCTGTTGGAAACTGTTTTTTTTTTTTTTTTTTTCTCGAGGCCGTGTTCAACAACCCCCTTATTGGTTTCAGACTCTCGGTCACTATCACTTCCTTCCATTTACCAGTCTTACATTTACTTTGTAGCCCAGGTTAGCCTCAAAATTATGACAATCTTCTTGTCTCCGCCTTCAGAATGCTGGTTTCACAGGCATGAAACGCCCTGCCCAACTTAAACTTTAATAAATGTCTTTCGGCTAGGACACCTAGATAAAGAAAGCACAGTAGTACAGTGTTACTTTCATCCGCTAGCGTTGAGCAACATAGCCCAGGCTGTGCTGGGGAGGGCTGTGGTTGGAAGCATAGTTCTCTATCGATAAATGGAAACTTCAGTCCACAGCTTCACAGATGGGAGAAATCAAGGAAGTCTGCCCATACGTCGCGCCCTGTGCACCTCCTCTATCTGTTCCCCATTTGTAGCCTTTATCACAAGCTGGTGGCACAGATGAGTCTCCGAGCGATGCAAGCTGCCCAGCACTTTATCAGCTGTAAGAAGGAAGTTGTGGGAAGTCTGGCTTACAGTCATGAGACACACACAGGTCAGTCTGGGACTTGTGAAGGGAGTCTCAAGAGGGAAGTCTTGTGAGTTGGAACCCTCAACCTGGGGATCTGATGCTAACCCTACATGGATGGCATCAGCACAGGATTTGAGGCGAGCAGCTGGTGCCTTCTGGGGAGCGGCTGAGGGTCTAGAGAAACAACCGCCTTAGATCCGCTGCTAAGTGTCAGGTGGTGTAGGAGTAGGGAAAAGACTTCTATGCTTATCCCATCTTTTATAGTCAAACACAGCATACAGCTCAGCTTCTCTCATCCTACCTGTGATTTTGCACAGACAACAACAGCCCTCTGACTCACTGTGCCTTCGGTTTGGTTGCTGTGAATCGTTTAATACGGAGCAACACATTGTCCCTCCTCTTCTTTCCTTTCCCAGATGTGAAAACCCTTAGAGGCCACTCCTAAATCCCAAAGACTGAATAGTGACAGTAATAATGGCAAGCCTGCCTACTCCTTCATATCTGGATGCCCTGGTCTGATAGACTCCAGTTCTACCCTGCAGCAGCCACAGCTGCCAAGAAAGGAAAGATGCATGTTTTCTTGTTCCAGTGAGGCAGAGAATGAGGGGTGATGGTGATGGTGGCTGGAAACTGGTGAACACACAACATAGGACAATGTAAATTTTGCAGGTCATAGGGAAACTGTTCCCCTAGCAACCTTAGGTAGCAAAGAAAGCCAATGAAGCACATTGGGAGAGAGAGAGCTCTGTCTGTCTTGCCCTGCTGCACAGGACTGCCCTGGATGGAGAGCTCTGTCTGTCCTGCCCTGCTGCACAGGACTGCCCTGGTTTTTGGCACATGTGTCCAGTGGGTAAATATGACAGGCTCGTGCTGGGGCCTCACTTTTATTGATGTGCTTGGACATCATCTATTTCATTGATCATCTTTTTCTTTGTTCTCATCCTTCCTCTCACTCCTCCCTCCCTTTCCCTGCTTTCCAAGGTCACTGCTTCAGAGTAGTATTTGAAGAGGAGGCTTGAGAAAGCATGTCTGAAATCCTGGAATTTCCCAGGGTGCCTGTAATGAAGTGAGACTCAGCATGCAAACAGAACAGGATGTCTAGGGTCTTCTCTTGTCTCCGTGGTTAAAGCCCTACCACAGATCCCAGCAGATGCTAACACGCCCACAAGTCTCCTGCACTTCCTCCCCCACATTTTAAACAGACCCAAGGGCTTAGAAAGGCAAACCCCAAACTAGTGTGACGAGATCTCCCTCCCACAAACCCCCGTCAGCACCAGGAAACTGAAATGGAACTTTCAGGAGTCAGAATTCTGTGGTTGTGCAAAGGGAGGGAAATGGGTTCCTCACCCTTGGCAGTGAGCCAGGTGAGGAAGCCTCTTGGAAGACTTAACTGTGTAGTAGCTGGACCTCTTCTAGGTAGTGTTTCCTTGAGACTGACCAAAAAGATACCCAGCCACCTCCCAACGGATTCAGTGTGGGAATAACGCTATGAATGAGGACTGTGGTTGAAAAGGAACAGGAGAAGACGACAGAAAGGCAGCATTAGGATATAAAGGAGGTGACAGACTCACTAGAAGACAATCAGCGGCTCGATGCCGTCAGCTTGCTATGTGGAAAGGTAACTTGGAGAGTTGTGCGGGGCGGGAGGCTACCTAGCAATGGGCGCTTAACCCACACTGAGTAAGCGAAGCGCCTGCTTTGTACTTGGGCACTGTGCAAGTGTCTGTGCAGAGGGTGGAGACAAGCAAACAGATGATAACACAATGTGTTCAGAGCCACGACGGGGCCAGCACTGAGGACGGCTAACAGCAGCATCCGGCACGCCGAGCTGGCACAGCTCGGGGACGGCAGGAATCCAGCTGAGAAAGCCAGTGCCACAGCGCCAAAGAAGCGACAGATTCAGGAGAGGCCTTGGTGGCGCACCTTGTATCATGCTGCTCGGGAGACAGAGGCAGGCAGATCTCTGAGTCTGAGACCAGCCAGGACTCGTATTAAGGCCCTGTCTCAAAAAGAAGAGGGAGGGGGAAGAGGAGGAAGAGGAGATGACAGTTTTAAAGTACAGGGCTGGGGGTGTAGCTCAGCTCACAGAGTGGCTACCTAACAGGCACGAAGGTCTAGGTTTGATCCTCAGCACTGGGCATGATGTTGAATATTTGTAATCCCAATACACAGGAGGTAAAGGCAGGTAGATCATCTTCAGGTACCTGAGGTGTTAGAGACAGCCTAGGCTATAGGCCCTTTCAAAAGAGAAAGAGGAGAGGAGAGAGAGAGAAAGGAAGTAATGTACATTCGTGCCTTTGGATGGAGAACAGCCAGCAGACTGGAGTAGTTTGAATAAGAATGGCCCCCCAAAGGCTCATATATTTGACCGCTGAGTTGCCAGGTCATGGCACTATTTGAAAGGATTAAAAGGATTAGGAGTTATGGTCTTGTTGGAGGAAGTGTGTGTCAGGGGATGTGCTTTGAGGTTTCAAAAGGCCATGCCATGGGCCTAGTCTTTCTCTTCCTGCTGCCTGCAGATCCAGATGTAGAACTCTCAGCTCCCTCTCCAGCACCATGTCTGTCACTGCGCTTTCTGCCATGATGATGGTGGATTAAACCTCTGAAACTGTAATCGAGCCCCAATTAAATGCTTTCCTTTATAAGAGTTGCTGTGAGCATGGTGTCTCTTCACAGCAACAGAACATTGACTAAGATAACGATGCTCTTAGGATCCCCACGGGGCCCTCTGTTCTCAGACCTTATAACTTGCCACTGCGTTCAGCACATTCACGTTTGGCTTGCACACGGACAAGCTGAGACGTCGTAGGGAGTCGACAGCTTCCCTGGAGATGGTCCTTAACCCATCAAAAGTCAGTGGATGCACACTCAAAACTGGCATGGCACTTCATGGGGACAACGCTAAGGACTGCCTCAGGCCCTTAGACCCACCTAGAATGCATCTCAAATGGCCACGGGGATTCCTGCTTGTTCACACAGCCTGTGTGGCTCCCTTCCCTCCTGGTCTCACTTCCCTGTTCTACTTCCTGGAACTGCCTCCCAAATAAACTCTTTGCACTCCAATCTTTGCCCGAGTCTACTTGGGATAGGTGGGGGACCCAATCGAGGAAAGCTCAGACAAAGCATTTGGAGCAATTCTATGATTAAAAACAAAGATTCACATACAAGGTGCTTCTGGAAGGGGAAAAGCTGACACCATCAACTGAAATAAAAAGATTCTCAAACACAGAGATGAACCCGGGGAGAGCAGGGAAGTGTGGGAACACAGGAAGAGCGTGTGAGAAAGCAGAGCTGAGGGCACCCAAGGAACTTGTCCTCGCTAAAGTCTGAGCATGAGATTAGAATACTTGAATAGACTGAGCAGAACCACGGCTACGGAGAAAGAAGTCACCAGGAAAAGAAAGGAAAGGAAAACACCACCCTCTCCCTAGGGGCTAAACGCAGTGTCTTCTTTTGACCCAAGAGAATATAAAGCCCGCGCTGCCTCTTCCAGCCGCTGCCGGTACTCCAGCTTCTCGTAGTTAGAAGGGTTGACTCCTTTAAAACCGTGCATCACTCCCCACCAGCAGCCAGCGATGGCTGCTGTGGAATCGCTGTCTCCACCATGGAAAAAGGCTCTGTGTGCAAGTTCCTTCCAGGAGTCCCCCGCGGCCAGGAGGGCATCATAGGCGATCATGGGGGCATCGTGCCCACTGCTGCCGCCCCAGCCAGAGTAACTCAGGGAGATGTAGAACTGGTCCCTCTCCTTCACCCCGAAGGGTTGCTGGAAGACGGGAGCCGACTTGCCATCTGAAATTCCTCGAAGTTCCAGGTACTTTTCCCATTCTTTCTGGAAGTAAGACCTGCGGAGGGGAAATCAATTTTAAAAAAACTAAGGTCAAAAGCTATAGGGAAAAGTACCAGGTAGATATGTAAATAGAGAAAAGTCCAGAATGACTTCAGCTCCTCATACTAGTGTCATAAACTCACAGGGGAAAAAAGTGCATTAACTCTACAAGCCATTCATACATTCTTTCACTAACCACCCACAGAAACCAGGTATGGACTCGGTTGCTCAGCACAGAAGATATGTGTCAGGGCTGCAGACAGGAAATAAACATTGGTTCTTCTGAGTCAAGAGCCACATTTTATTATCTCCCCAGGAGAACTCGGGGACATCACCACATGGGCACCCTTAATAAGAGCACTGAGCCCTTTGCTTCTAAGAAAGCTGATGTGAAGTAAGCCATGAAGAGGGGACAAGATGGCCTTGTCACTCAGCTCCTGGGGAAACTCATCTCTCGGGCATTCTAACCAAAGGTTCTGAAATATTGCTTCAAAGCAATACTGGAAAAACCAATCTCAGAGAAACAGGAGGTAACCAAGAAAAGTGCGTCTCTGCACAGGCTGATCATAGACATTTATGGAAAGCTGGAATCAAGAATAGGACTTAGGTGACTACACGTGCCCACTTGGCTGTTTCAGGCAACCATGACTGGAAAGGAATGTGGACTCCTTAGCAGGTGCCCTGGGAGGAACAGTGGTGCAGGAGAATTGTCTGTATTCTGTCAACCATGTATTTTAATAAAACGCTGATTGGCCATGCAGGAAGTATAGGCGGGTCAACCAGACAGGAAGTAGAGGCAGGGCAATGAGAATAGGATAAGGCTAGGGAGGTGGAAGCTCCCTCTGCCATTCCTGCCCAGACCACCAAAGAGGCAGGATGTAACCTGCCCAGCTGAGAAAGGTACTGAGCCGTGTGGCTAATGTTGATAAGGATAATGGGGTAACATAAGTTATGAGCTAATAAGTAGCCTGACCTAATGGACCAATCAGTTTGTAATCTTATGGAGTCCTGTGTCTGATTTTCTTTGGGACTTGCCAGCTGTGGGGTACCGGGCAGGACAGATACACTAACAAGCCAGCCCTTCATGTTACAGAACAGGAATGTGAGAACTGTGATGGCAGCTGTGACCTCTGAACCCTAGGTACACGGATGATGCATGTGCGTCCACAGACACTCACCAGTGTTGGAGATTTTCCTCCACAAAGTAATCTGACTGGACAATGTAGTTTTTGGCTTCTGGTAACACCTCCATCAACCCTCTTCCCCACTGCCTGGGTGGTTTGCCGTTCACGGCATATGCTGTAAAAAGAGCTGACACAAGGCTTCCCAGGTAGCCTGTCGGGTGGTGGTGGGTCATCCGGCCACTCTCGATGCTCACTTGGATTAGCATGTCCAGCTGGCTGGGGTGAGGGAACCTCAGCCCGATGCACATGGCACGCATAGCAGCCCCACAGCCACCCTCGTGGTTGTTGAAGGGAATCCTCCAGCCGTTGGGCCTGTTGGGCTCCAGCTGCATGGCATTCTGCATGCAAGTACCACCTAGGGTGAGTCAGGTAGAGAAAAGGGTCAGAGACCAAAACAAAGAACGAAACAGACTCCCAAGTTTCTCTGAAACAAAAGGAAAGCCATGAACATATGATATGGATGGAACATATGACATGGATGGAACATATATGATATGAATGGAATATATGACATGGACTGAACATGTGATATGGACGGAATATATGATATGGATGGAACATATGATATGGACAGAATATATGATATGGATGGAACATACGATATGGACGGAATATATGATATGGACGGAACATATGACATGGACGGAACATGTGATATGGACGGAATATATGATATGGACGGAACATATGATATGGATGGAACAAATGATATGGACAGAATATATGATATGAATGGAACATATAATATGGACAGAACATATGATATGGATGACCCCACAACTTCAAACCTCAGCCCAACAGTTGCCCTTCTTTATATATAATCCTAAGTGTGATATTATGAATTATGGAGTAAGCCTTGGGATTTTTCTAGTTATTAGAGAATGCATAATACCTCAAAGGTAGCTGTACTATATTTGCTTTTATTTATCTTTGAAAGAAAGGCTTTTTACATAAACCTGGTTGACCTGAGACTCTCTATTATATCCAAGGCTGGCCACAAACTCACAGTCATTCTCCTGTTTCAGCCTCCCAAGTGCTAGGACCACAGTGTGTGCTACCATGTTTTTGTTTTTAATAAGATCGGACTCAAAAAGTAGGGAACTTAAGATCACAGAAGCAGCTAGTCAGTGACCATCGAAATATAATCAGACTCCATAGCTGAAGTCCTCAGTGAGTCTAAGAAGAACCTGTTGGGGTTCCCATTGGGGTTACTGACTATCAGAGAAAGTTCCAGAAGAATCATTAGGTTTAGATCAGGAACAACAGAGGGTGGCTGTCCCCTACGTGACAGGGGTAGAAGGAGACTTGTCCTACTGATCTTTTGTCCATTGTCCATTTTATGTAAATGGAGACTGCTCTTTTATTTACTCTGCTAAGCCTTTGGTAGAAACAGCATTATTCATGACCAAATAAAAGCAACACATATACAGAAGGACAGCCCATATCATTTCCCCTTTTCTGTCTAAATAGAAAGGAAGGTTTTAACTTTAACATAGTAAAATTGCACATAACAAAACAGGTACAAAGCAAGAATTACAGTTAAAATAGTCTGTTTGTACCTGGCAAAAATTAAAGAAAATATTCTATCATCTATTTTATCTTTATGAGTCTAAAGTTTCATAATTATTTTTATTATAACTAAGGAAAACTATAACCATAACTACCTATCTATATATTTCTCTGTTCTCCTCTCTGCCTCTCCCCTCCCCTTCAATCCTCTCCCATGGTCCCCATGCTCCCAATTTACTCAGGAGATCTTGTCTTTTTCTACTTCCCATGTAGATTAGATCTACGTATGTCTCTCTTAGAGTCCTCATTATTGTCTAAGTTCTCTGGGATTGTGATTTGTGGGCTAGTTTTCTTTGATTTATGTTTAAAAAACACTTTTGAGTGAGTATATGTGATACTTGTCTTTCTGCTTCTGGGTTACCTCACTCAAAATGTTTTCTAGCTCCATCCATTTTCTTGCAAAATTCTAGATGTCGTTATTTTTTTCTGCTATGTAGTACTCCATTGTGTAAATGTACCACATTTTTCTTATCCATTCTTTGGTCGAGGGGTATTTAGGTTGTTTTCAGGTTCTGGTTATGACAAACAATGCTCTTATAAACATAGTTGAGCACATGTCCTTGTGGCACTATTGAGCATCCTTTGAATATATACCCAAAAGTGGTATCGCTGGGTCTTGAGGAAGGTTGTCTCCTAATTTTATGAGAAATCACCACACTGACATCCAAAAGGGCTGTACCAACTTGCATTCCCACCAGTAATGCATGAGTGTTCCCTTTTCCCCACATCCTCTCCAGCATAAGTTGTCATCAGTGTTTTTGATCTTGGCCATTCTTACATGCGTAAGATAGAATCTCAGAGTTGTTTTGATTTGCATTTATCTGATGACTAAGGATGCTGAGCATTTCCTTAAGTGTCTTTCAGTCATTTTAGATTCCTCTGTTGAGAGTTCTGTTTAGCTCTGTGCTCCATTTTTTTAAACTGGATTATTTGTTCTTTTGATCACCAATTTCTTGAATTCTTTGTATCTTTTTGTTATTTTGTATATCTTTGTATTTTGGAGATCAGACCTCTGTCTGATGGAGTTGGTGAAGATCTTTTCCCATTCTGTAGGCTGTTGTTTTGTTTTAACCGTGTCCTTTGCTTTATAGAAGCTTTTCAGTTTCCAGGAGGTCTCATTTATTAATTGTTTCTCTCACTGTCTGTGCTACTGGGGTAATATTTAGGAAGTGGTCTCCTGTGCCAATGCATTCAAGTTTACTTACCACTTTCTCTTATATGAGGTTCAGTGTGGCTGGCTTTATGTTGAGGTCTTTGATCCATTTGGACTTGAGTTTTGTGCATGGTGATAGATATGGATCTATTTTCATTCTTCTACATGTTGATATCCAGTTATGCCAGCACCATTTGTTAAATATGCTTTCTTTTTCATTTTATATTTTTTACTTTTTTTGTCAAAAATCAGGTGTTTGTAGGTGTGTGGATTGATATCTGTGTCTTTAATGTCCATTGGTCCTCCTGTCTGTCTTTATGCGCGTACCAGGCTGTTTTCAGTACTGTAGCTCTGTAGTAGAGTTTAAGTCAGGGATTGTGATGCCTCCAGAAGTTCTTTTATTGTACAGGATTATTTTGGCTAACCTGGGCTTTTTGCTTTTCCATATGAAGTTGGAGGTCTGTGAAGAATTTTGCTGGGATTTTGATGGGCATTGCATTGAATCTGTAGGTTGCTTTTGGTAGTTTCTTTCTTTTTTAAAGAATGCTAAGCAGGCATGGCTAGGGCTAATGCTGTGATTTTGCCTGTTGTCTCTGCCCTGTCCAACATGGCCGAGGTATGCTCACTGCCTCTGCGAGCCACGCTCACTGCCCCAGCTTCAAGGAAACAGCAAGTCTATGTCACCATTAAGCAATTATAGCAGTCTGCTCACAAACCACATTCAAGTGCTCTGTAGAAGGACCTCCCGAAGGAGCCAGAGCCATTCATGCCACTGGTATGAACCAGGAAGCCATCTCTTAAAGAAGCTGCACCTCTGCGTGAGGCCAGGAAACAGCCTATCTGAAAAAATGTGGTTACCAAGAAGCTCCAATTGACTCCCATTTTTGTAGGTCTAGAAACTCCTCTTTTTAAGCTTTCTTAGGCTTTATGTGAATGTACATTGCCAAATGTTGGCCGTGATTATGTAAATGGAGACCGCACTTTCAGTTCCCACTCGTCCAACCGGACTAATCACTCAGATACTATATTAATTGCAACACTCTTTGGCCAACGACTCAGGTGTATTCCTTGCCAGCTCTTGTATCTTAAATTAACCCATTTCTATTATTGTATATTTTACCACAAGGATTGTGGTCTGTTACCTCACATCTTGCTTCTTGGGCAACTCCATGGCGTCTGCCTGCCTCTGCCTTCTTTCTCCCTGCATTCCGACTAGTTTTCCCGCCTAGCTACACTATATTCTGCCCTTCCATAGACCAAGGAAGCTTCTTTATTAACCAATGGTAATAAAATATATTCATAGCACACAGAGGGGAATCCCACATCAGAGAATAGTGCTACAGAAGGAACCAAGAAATGGCAGCCACACGCTCTGGAATGCAATATCACTGCTCCCTTATTGGGCAGTTTATACACCATATCCATGGATGACATGGTAGCAAATAAAACCACATGTCTGACTGAGTGGACAGTGGATGTTAAGAAAGGATGAACAGAGATGGTCTTTTAAATCCAGCCCTTGGGATTAAGAGGGTTCCCACATTTGACGGTAAGGAATTCTTCAATCAGGAGTTATTATGGCTGAATTGTGTTGGTATGTTGAAATCCAAATACATATGTTGAAACTGTAATGCCCAGTGACTTAATGTGGAGATAGGGCCTTCAAAGGCACTTAAGCTAAAGAGCCATTAGGGTGAAGTCTAATCCAGTCTAACAAGAAGCATACAGATACACAGACACAGGGATGCCATGCACAGAGAAAGACCACATGAGGACCAGAGACAGTGTCCAACTGTAAGCCTAAAGGAGCAGCTCCACAAACCAAACTTAATGTTGTGTGATTTAAGCTTCTAGTGGCCAGAATCATGAGGTGTCTGTCTGTTGTTGTTAATTTTGGTTTTTTGTTTTTTTGTTTGTTTGTTTTGGTTTGGTTTTTTGAGACAGGATTTCTCTATATAACAGTCCTGGCTGCCCTAGAACTCACTCTGTAGACCAAGGTGACTTCGAACTCACAGAGATCCGACTGCCTCTGTCTCCTGAGTGCTAGGATTAAATGAAATGTCTGGTTTTTTAAGGACCGCAGTGTATAACACTTTGTCATGATAATTCCCTGACAGACTCTTATAGGAAGAGAGGTTTGTCAGGAAAAAGGTTACCTAAACCTGGAGGCCCCTAGGGGACCACAGTAAGTTCCCAAAGTGGGTGAGAGCCACTGTGTGCAGAACTGGAACCAAAAGAGAGTCTTTATTTTTCTTTAATTAGAAAAACAAAAACAGTTTTCTTTGTCATTGTTCATAACAAAATGTAGAAAAGGGAAAGAAAATAACAAATGGCATCTACTTCTATAACTTAGGTAGAATTATGAACATATTTATGAATACGCTTCCAGACCTCTCTTCACAGAGATAAACAACTGCTCTGTGTGTGTGTAGTGTTTGAGCACATGTCCATGTGCATACAGAGGACAGAGGTGGCTGCCAGGAGTCCTGTCTCTTTCTCAGATTCTTGGTGCAGGGTCTAGAGATAGCCCAGCAAGCTACGGGGATCCTCCTGTCTCTGTCTCCTTTTGCACAGGGGCTACACACGCGATTGTTTATGTGGGTGCTGGGGATTTGAACTCAGGTCCTCATGCTTGCACAACTAGTGTTCTTACCTGCTGAGCTGTCTCTCCACCACTTCCCACACCACCCCGCTCCTGACCTTGCTGCTTCCACCTCCCAAGTGTTGGAATTACAGGTATGCGCCACCACACCTGGCACACAACATTATTGTCATAAAATATTTTTCTGGAACCTAATTTTTTTATTTCATGGATAAAACCTTTCCATATTCATCTGCACAGTTTACAAAACTGCGATGCCACCATGAATAAGTTACAAGAATTCAAATCTACACTACCATTTCATTAATATTTAAATGCTCCACAACTTTTATCTCCTTTTGGTTCTTGGAACAGAATCTCATTCCAGAGCCTAGGCTGGTTTTGAAGTCAAAGTCCTCCTGAGTGTCAATGACAGTCACCAATCCCTAGTCCCACCAACCTGCTTCTCTATCCCCAGGAGCCACCTCCTCCCAGCAGCACTCACCTGGTGCCCGGCCATCCATGTCTCCCATGCAGTCCTGATAATGTTTAGCTAGAAGGGAATACAGTTGGGCCAAGTTCGGCGATGTGCCGGCTTCCAGGAGTGCCTCTGCCGTGGCCAGGTGCATCACCGTGTCATCACTGACTCTCCACCGCGCCACATCTATGGCTTCCAGGTCACCCATCTGGGCCAACTGCCGGTGTATCTTCTCCCCATCCCGCAGGAACTCCCACTTCCCATTGAAGTACCCCATGGCATCTCCAGCTGCGCTCAGCACCATGGCGGCCACATACCTCTCAATCAGCCCCCCGCCCATGCTGCGCTTGGCACAGGCGGTCTCGGGGGACAGCTAAGACACCTGTAGGAAGAAAGAGAAAGATTAGTCAGAAAAAAAGCAAGTAAGCAGACAAAACTCTGTGTTTTACTGGGCACTCTCCCTGCAGGCACTTTATTAAATAGATTCCATTTAATCCTCATAACTGCGCTAGGAGAGATTTGCTACTAGGTGCATCTTAAGCCAAACAACTCAAGTGTGGTAAAGATAATGCAGTTTTATAGGTGTTAAGAGAACTGAGTCAGGCCACAGAGCTAACAGTGGCTGGGATACTAGCACAGAACTAACTCCCAAGCCGGGTCTCTAACTCTATCTTGGACTCTCGGGTAGTGGCACGCCCATTAGGTCCTACAAGTCAACCCAGGCCTGCAGTTTTCTCCTTCAGGTGACGTGCGGCTTGGAAGTGCATCTCTCCTTGAAGTAGTAAATGACACTTACTACAGGTAAGTGTTCACAGATGAGGAAACAACTGAAACGTGCAGACCCCAAACTTCTAGTTCCCTGCCAGAATGCTTCAGGTTACATTACATGGCCTCAGCCCTGGCCTTAACCTTGGGCAACTTCTTGGTGGCACTTGTAAAAAGATAACGATTTAAAAACAAACAACAACAACCTCCCAGACGTGGTATAGGGAGCGAATGAGTCCCCATGAAGTGGATAGAGAACACAACTTCATGATTATTATCCATCAACACCCAGTTCCATATTTAAGCTTTGGCCACTCTCTTCCCTTTTACCAGCAATATTTTCGTTTTTCCATTTTAAAATGATTTATTTTTATTTTACGTCCTCTGGCTTTCTGTCTGCATGTGTGTCTGTGCGAGAGTGTCTGATCCCCTACAACTGGGCTTATAGGCATTTGTGATCTGCCATGTGGGTGCTGGGACTTGAACCTGAGTCCTCCGGAAGGGCACCCAGTGTTCTTAACTGCTAAGCAATCTCTCCTAAACCAGTTTGTTTTCTGTGTGTTAAAAGTTCTATGTCGGGCGGTGGTGACACATGCCTTTAATCCCAGCACTCCAGAGGCAGAGGCAGGCGGATCTCTGCGAGTTCAAGGCCAGCCTGATCTACAAGAGTTCCAGAACAGGCACCAAAAACTACAGAGAAACCCTGTCTCGAAAATCCAAAAGTTATAAATAAATAAATAAATAAAAGTTCTGGGCTGCAGAGATGGCTCAGCAGTTAAGAGCACTAACTGCTCTTCCAGCGGACCCAAGTTCAATTCCCAGCATCCACATGACAGCTAACAACGATCTGTAACTTCAGTTCCAGGGAATCTGACACCTTCACACCAATGCACATAAAATAAAGTTAAATAAATTATTAAATAAATAAATAAATAAAAGTTCTATAGTGCTGGATCACAGATGATATTGTGTAGGGGAAAGGGGCCAGCCCAAGAAACCCACCCTGGCTCTGATACCCAAACCAGTGAAAGAAATACACTTTGGCCTGGTAACCACAGCCAAAGAAACACACTCGGCCCTAGAATCACAGTCAGAGAAAGAAATATGCCAATATGCCCTAGCTCTGAAATTAGAGTCAAAAGAAACACAATTTGGCCCTCAAAGCAGAGCCAAATCTGTGCCTGACCAACTCCATCTAAGCAGAAAACCAACCAATCCCTGTGCAGAGAACCAACCAATCCCTGTGCAGAAAACCAACCAATCCCTGTGCAGAAA